TGTATGTACATATGTATTATATTCCATAGCTTTTTAACAGTACTAATTGCTTTCAAGGCGCTCCAACAGCTGTTTATAGCCAGCAAATGTAGCAGATGAGGCCAAAACAAATGTCAACTATTCTAAATAATGTATTTCACTAACGCTGATGGTAGATATAAACTGGCAATGCTGACAAGACTACCAACCACTTGCCTCGAAGTACAGTTAGAAATTATTGAGTTTATGCTCTGGAAAGCAAGCAAAAAGCTTGAAGGAGGAAATTTTCGTTTTTAATTGAAAATATTTTGATGTGATGAGGTCAAATCACGCAGATTRTGGCTATTTTATAATGTGCATTCATTTATATGAGAGATTTGCAACTTATATTTATAAATTTCAACTGCTTTGCTTGAAAGCCTCACCCAAGCCTCAATTTGACACACGTTGCTCAAAGTTCGATATCCAATTTCCAATTTAYTTAAATATTTCGGAGAATAAATAAATGATCGGCAGAATGCTAAATAAAATAGAAGTTCTTAAAGTGCCGACAGTTAATTTGAATTGCCGCACGCACGTGTTTGTATGTATGCATGCGACAACCAATTTTGGTAACTTCAATGACTTAAAATTTGAGCAAAATTTGAGTCTACRAAATCAATCAATGCAATGGTAACACTGATTCCACTGCTCCAATTACGCRAACTCGATTCMTCATTCAACACTCATGTATMTATATGTATCTATGTGTGTRTATGTRTATCTATGTGCGTGTCTACTTTCAAAATAAATCGCATCTATGCTCAGAGCACTGAGTGTGAACTCTTCGCAAACTTTAACCCACATTGTGCCGTCTGCGTTGAGCAGCCAGGCGTGGCAAGGCAAACAGTCGGTGGTAATAATTCTTTGTAATTGGGCAATTCTTTGGAAGGCATGTGTGACTTGTGTGACATAGTTTTGAAAGCTCGGTAAATGAAAACAAAGCCAACGACTTGTCAACAACAAACGGCAATTAAACAAAGAAATTTATTAATTCGTTGACAAACATTTCATTTGCTTGCGACCACATACAAATGTACTCCAACAATGCGCCGTACGCACRGAATGGAATTTCGGGCTTCAAAGCAGATATACACTTCATTTAGTATTATTTAAGGCAGACACATGCATATACATATATGTNTACCAAAATCTTGTGCATTTTTAATATGCATTTTACTGCAGCCAAAATTCTGCAAATATAATGCGTTTAGTATTTGTGTTGCATTTACACTTCGAGCCACTCAAAATAAAGAAAAAGCTCGCCACGAATTGCAACAAAAAAATATAAAAAAAATAAAAAAAATATTTGTCCGCTAAAATAATAAAAATAAATGTAGATCAATTTGTTTTGCAATATAACTGTAAACTCCCACACTTGCAAGCATGAAAATCACTGAAGCGCAGCATTCAATCAAACCGTCACTACTGACACATATAGCATGATAAAAACATATACATACATATACGTAAAATACAAATGTGCCACCAAATGCGAAAATAGTCCAGCAACAACAATTTGTGCAAAAATACCAAATACAACAAAGTGCTAAAAGCTTACAAAGAA